CGGCACATAACAACAACAACAACATATATATATATATATATATATATATATATATATATATATATATTTGTGGATATAGTTCCATTCACCTTCCTACCCCTGTTCAGCTTAAGTGTCTATCTATGTATCCACTCTTAGATTATTGTTATTACAGGATTATGTATGTAATACTATTCGTCTTTATTACCTTTAACTCTTGTGCTCCTCCCAGTGTCCTTCTTTGCCTTGTTCATTCTGTGCTGACCTCCCCTTTATTATATACTGCCTTTTGTAGATAATCTTTATTAAGTTGAAGTAATTCTTTGTTCTTAACTTCATGAGAGTTTTTTTTGTTTTTAATCATAAAAGGGTACTGGATTTTGTAAAATGCCTTTTTTCCATGTCAATTGATGTTGCTCACATGATTTTTTTTTCTTTAACTCATTGATATGGTAGATTACATTAATTGATTTTCAAATGTTGGACCATCTTTGAATTCCTGGAATAAATCTTGACCATTGTGTATAATTCCTTTTTCACATTGTTGAATTCAGTTTGTTAATATTTTGTCTGGTAGCATAGTGCCTAAGGCACTTGACTGCTAACCAGAAGTCTGGTGGTTCAATTCCACCAGCCACTCCTCAGAAGGAAAGTTGGGCAATCTACTTCTGTAGTGATACTGCCTTGGAAACCCACGGAGGGGTCACTATGAGTCGGGCCCAACTCCACAGCACATAACAACAGCAACAATATTTTGTTGAAGATACTTGCATCAAAGTTCATGAGAGATACTAATCTATACTTTAATTTTTTTTTTTAATTGTCTTTGTTTATAGGAGCTTTTGTGCCATAGTGCCTAAGGCATTTGACTGCTAACCAGAAGACTGGTGGTTCAAACCCACCAGCCATTCCTCAGAAGGAAGGTTGGTCAATCTACTTCCGTAGAGATACCGCCTTAGAAACCCAAGGAGGGGCTGCTGAGTTGGATCTGACTCCAAGGCAGGGAGCTTGGTTTGTTTTGTTTAATTTTGACATCAGGATAATAATGCCTCATAAATTAAGTTTAAAAGTATTCCCTCCTCTTCTGTTTCCTGGAACAGATTGTGAAAATCGGTGTTAATTCTTTTTTTAACAGAACTTTGGAATTCTCCAAATTCTAACAGATGAAACCAGATTTTACTGGTAAAAACATCTGTGCCAGATTTCATTTTTTGGTAGCTGTTCAATTTCTTTAATGGTTGTAGTACTATTCAGAATATCTATTTTATCTTGGTGGATTTTGGCAATGTGTGGTTTTTGACGAATCCGTCCATTTCTTCTAAGTTGTTGAACTTAAAAGTGTAAAGTTATTCTTAGTATCCCCTTATATCTTTTTAATGGCTGAAGGATCTGTGGTGATAGCCCCTATTTCCTTCCTGATATTGATGATTTGTTTCTTCTCTCTTTTTATTTTTGTCAGTCTTACTAGAGATTTTTCAGCTTTATTTTGAAGAACTAGTTTTTTTCTTTCATTGATTTTTTTTATATTGTTTTCCAATTTTCTATTTCATTGATTTCTACTCTTTATTATTTCTTTCTGTTTGCTTTGGGTTTATTTGACTCTTATTTTTCTTAGGTTCTTGAGATGGGAACTTAGAATGATTATTTGGGACCGTCCCTCATTTCTAATGTAAATATTTAGTACTATAAATATCCTTTTCAGCACTGCTTTAGATGTACCCTACAGATTTTCACATATTATGTTTTCATTTTCATTCACTTTGATATAGTTTTAAATTTTCCTTTGAGATTCCTCTTTGACTCATGGGTTATTTAGAAGTATATTGTTTAATTTACATGTATTTTAGAGGTTTTCGTACTGTCATTATTTTTGATTTCTACTTTCATTCCATCATGGTCAAAAACAAACGAAACAAACTCACTGCCATTGAGTTGTTTCTGACTCATAGTGACCCCCATTGGGTTTCTGAGGCTGTGAATCTTTATGGAAGTAGATTGCCCCATCTTCCTTCCATGGAGCAGCTGATAGGTTTGAACTGCTGACTTTCTGGTTAGCAGCCAAATGTTTTATCCATTACGCCACCAGAGCTCCTTATTATGGTCAAAGGGGGTTCTTATATTAGCCTCTCTACTTTTGAAATTTGTATAATACAAACTTAAAAAAGAGAGAGAGAGGGAGAGATCCTGCCATCCTGCTTATTGATGGTATTTTCCTATCAAGGTTCCAGCTGCTGGCTCTTGAAAACATTTTCTGTGTTGGGCCCCCAGCCTAGCATCTTCTCAGCCTCATTCTGCTGGGCTGTTTGCTCTCCCCATACAGCCTTAAAGCAATTTTAGAATGATGTCTTCCCTGCCCCGTCTAACTCCCTAGTCTCTGCCTGTCCCCAGTAGCATATTGTTGTTATTGTTATGTGCTGTGGAGTGGGCCACGACTCATAGCGACTCCTCCTTGGGTTTCCGAGGCGATATCACTACGGAAGTAGATTGCCCAACCTTCCTTCCAAGGAGTGGCTGGTGGGTTTGAACCACCAGCCTTCTGGTTAGCAGTCAAATGCTAGCATAAAGCTCCTTAAAGAACCAAAATGGGGTAACAGGCCTAGTCTGTTAAACTCTAGTGTTAGCTTGAGGAAGGAAGGGATGGCACCAAGGTTTCTTTTATAGGATTTATGTCTGTCATTTTACAATCATGGCTGTAATGATCTTCACCACAGTCCTGCGAGGGAGGAATCAGATATCTTGAACCAAAAAAAAAAAAAAAACCTCACTGCCATGGAGTCAGATCCAACTCATAGCGACCCCTCCTTGGGTTTCCGAGGCTGTATCACTATGGAAGTAGATTGCCCAACCTTCCTTCTGAGGAGTGGCTGGTGGGTTTGAACCACCAGCATTCTGGTTAGCAGTCAAATGCCTTAGGCACTGCGCCACCAAAGGTCCTAGATATCTTGAAGTGGTATGGAAATGTGGCAGATTTGTGAACTCTTGGGGGAGCAGAGAATATGCCACAGGGGTTGAAGAATTTATGGGCCAAGAAAGTTTCAGTAAATGAAAAATAACTTGTGGAAGGGAAGGAGGCAAAGCATCCTGTATCTCAGGCCTCACTAAGGAGAGGTGGAGCCCCAAGGCCAGAGGAGAGCAGTAGGGGAAGCAAAGAGATGGTGACACCTGGAGGAGTGATAGTGGAGAGAATCTTTGGTGTTTGCAGGTAGGACAGAATGGGAGGGAAAGGGACCAGCTCTCTGGCTGGGCAGCTCCCTCAGTCTACTTGAAAGGGAAAAGGGATGGAAAGGCTGTAAACAGATATGAAATGAGCTGGAAGAAAAAATCAGAGGATTCAAGGCTCACAGCTGAGGCCTGTGACATCAGTACGAGGGGCAGGCCCTGTGGCTGCTCTGCATGCCTTGTCTGGGATGGGTGTCTGGTCAGGAGCCAGGATCCCTCATGCTTTAGTAGCTTCATATTTCCCAAATAGCTGTCTGAGAGGAATGTTTTGTATACTTCACTAGAGGAAGGATGTCAGGGAGGCACATACCCATCCTCCCGTGTCATGCCATCCCCCGCCAGCTGACCTTTTTCCTTTCTATCCTTTGGGTGGTTGTGAATTTAGGGGTGGAAAAGGCAGGAAGCCTGCCTTGTGGGTGCCCCAGGTGTTTCCTCACCACGGCCCACAAATGCTGAGAGCAAGATGGATAGGTATGTCACCAGAGCCCTACATTAGAGAAGAGGAAGGGGGGTCAGGAAAGGTGTCCCTAGAAACCCCCCAGCCCCTCATGATTGCAGGGCCTGATAACAGCAGCAGGTGCCATTCTGGAGGCAGGTTTAGAGATGAAAGGCCCTGAACACACAATGCTGTCGATGTTACCACTGTGACAGTAACAGTAAAGGGAGGCAGCTGTTGGGCATTAAAAGAGGAGTGTGTGAAAGAGGGAAGAACCACAGAGAGGGAACAGACTTCGCCCTGGGCCTGGATGGGAGGATGAGCCCAGGGCTGCCCAAAGTCCTTGTGGGAGTAGGTTTGGCTGCTCAGGCCTCTTTCATTCTGTGTGCAAACTGTAGACCCACTATGTGTATACTCTGAACACAACATGTGCAGCTATGATGCAGATACCTTTTGGCTCAGGGGCCTGTCATCTTTCTAGGTGGAGTCTTTGATCCAGCTCTCTCCACAGCAGGCCTGAGGCTATACCTCCCAGCTGGCAGCTGATGCCCCATTTGGCTTTGTTGGGAGACATGAAGGCATGTGTGTTGGTACTTGAGGATGGCAGTAGAAGGAGAGGGAGATGATGAGAAGCTGGCAGGTGCCTGTGTGGGTTTGCCATGCAGGGATAGGAGGCTTAGGTTTATGCAACTTGCTTAAGGTCACATAGTAATGAAAGAGTCAAGGCCTGGATGCAGGTCAGTTTAACATAAAAAGTCGTAAACAATGTGCCTGTTTCCTCATTCATACAACAGAGAGAATGGTTATGAGGATTAAATGAGGTAATTGTGTAACAACTTAACACATGGCCTAGACAGAGTTTATTGGTATGTGCTCAATAAATAGCAGCTGCTATTAATATTGATATGTCATTCCTTTATCACTAAAGCCAAATTACAATGAAGATGACAACAAAAGTTCAGAGTCTTACACGTGTGATGAAATTAAGGGTGTTTCTGGTTCATAAACATGCGAAGCCTTTTCTTGGGCACTAATTTGAGGTTGTGGCATTCTTCTAATATGAGCCCATGTCAGCCTGTCTGTCTACCTCTCGATCCCAGATGGAGTGGCCGTTCTGCCTGCCCCTCAGAATCTCTCTGTACACTCGGCCAACATGAAGCATCTGTTGACATGGAGCCCAGTGGTTGTGCCTGGAGAAATAATATACTATTCTGTCGAATACCAGGGGTAAGGTTTTTATTTTATTTTATTTTTTTAAAAAACCAAACCAAACTGTTTTTCTCCCTTAGATAACAGTTGGTTCCTGGAGGTATAGCCCTCACCCTGGGCTCAACGAGGCTTTGTGAACTCAGGGATAGAATATCTCTAATGATCTGCCCCCTCTGTCGGTATTGACATTGGGAGAATTGAAGAGGCGTGGGAAATTGTCCTCTGGATTTGACAGTGAGCTCTGCAAGAACACAAATGTTTATAAACACATTTTGATGGAGATTCTTTTCAACAGTGAGTCAGCTATCCGATGCTGAAGGAAATCTTAAGAAATGAGTTTGGCTGTCATTTGAGATGGGGATATTCACTGGAGACTCAAATACTTTCAGGATGGGGGAGAAGTCCATTTTCCTGATTAGGAGCTTGTACCAAGGAGCCAAAACAAATCATGTGACCAACCATAAAGGTCAGCTGGTCTGGGGCTAGATGGGCTTGACTCTTCTCCAGGTGTCCAGGCTCTTGGAGCTGTTGGAGAGTGACTAGGACACAAAAGATGCTTGGTCTGTTTCATTAATAATAAATACAAACTGACCACCTATGTGTGTAGGCATTCTTCTAGGTTCCGGTGTACATCGGACAAGGTTTCTAGATATAGGGAGCTTACATCTAGAAGAGGAGATAAATACTAAACAGGTATAGAAATAAATACATAGATCTGTGTTGATCAATATGGTGACCACTTTAATGAATTTAAGGAGCTCTAGTGGTGTAGTAGGAGTTCTGGTGATGTAGTGCCTAAGGCACTTGATTGCTAACCAGAAGGCTGGTGGTTCAAACCCACCAGCCGCTCCTCGGAAGGTTGGACAATCTACTTCCATAGTGATACTGCCTCGGAAACCCAAGAAGGGGTAACCGTGAATCAGATCTGACTCGATGGCAGTGCATTTGGTTTTTTTTTTTTTTTAGTGGTGTAGTGGTTAAGGCATTTGGCTGCTAACCAAAGGTCAGTGGTTCAAATTCACCAGTGAGTCAAACTCACCAGTGGGTCAAACACACCAGCTGTTCCATGGAAGAAAGATGAGAAAGTCTGCTTCCATAAAGATTTATAGTCTTGGAAACCTAATAGGCATCACTATGAGTTGGAATTGACTCAATGGCAGTGAGTTTAGTTTTTCTGATTACCAGTTTTAACTAATTAAAAGAAAAAGTGTTTGTTCCCCAGTCACATTAGCCAAATTTCAAGTGCTCAGTTGACACATATGGCTAGTGGCTACCACATTGGACAAAGCAGATATAGGACATTTCCATCACCATAGGAAATGCTTTTGGGCACCACTGCTGTAGGTAATTTCAGATAGTGCTAGCAAGAAGCTAAAGGTTTATATGACAAGACAACTGAATCTGTGGCTCTTAAACAGTGTGTGGTCAGGGAAGGCCTCTCAGAAGAGGTGATATTTAACCTGATAGATGAAGGACAGGAGGATCCAGCCATATGAACAGTGGGAGCAAAGCATTTGAGACGGAATGAACAGCTAATGCAAAGGTCATGGGGCAAAAAGAGCCTGGCATATTGGAGGAATGATGAGGAGGCCAGTGTGGCAGGAAAACTGTGCTTAGGGGAAAGGTAGGAGAGAGGCTAGGGAGGCTTGTAGGTGATGGGAAGGAGTTTGGATTCCAGTCTAAGCACTGTGGGAAGCCATTAAGGAGAGAAATGGCATGACCTGATGAGTGATGAATGGTTTGGACACACTTTCATATATCCACAGTTGAGGCTGGGTAGAAGGGGCTGGTGTGACACTGTGATCTCTTCTTGGACAGGGAATATGAGATCCTATACCTGAGCCACCTCTGGATTCCCAGCCACTGGTGCTCATCTACCAAAGGTCCTCAGTGTGACATCACTGATGACATCACCGCCACTGTGCAGTACAACCTCCGAGTCAGAGCTACACTAGGCTCACAGACTTCAGCCTGGAGCACCTTGGAGCACCCGTTTAATCGAAACTCAAGTGAGTCACTTTTCTCCTTACTCTTCTCACTTCCCCCCACCCCCTAACATCTCCTTTGGGACCATGCTGACCCAGATTGTCCAGACTCTAACATCAAAATAGTCTCATAAAGCTGGAGTATTGTGAACACAAACAACCCTAAATTGTACATTGTACAACTTGTCAACTGCTTCCCACATGCCCTCTCCCTCTTTTGCAACTTTGGAAGTCATTTCTAACTGTCTCTGTCAAGGTCTGTAGGTAATGGGGATACTGACATTGGGAACCTGGAAGGAAAGTTGCTCTGGAAATGGGAAAATGAGGCTAGGACTTCTTCTTTCTACCCTGATAAGACTCAACAAATTTTTCCTGCCTCCTATCTGGGGTCCTCATTAGCCCCACATTTACTGCCTGCACAAGCAGCCTCTTTGTGCAAAAGGATCTATACATTTAGCAGAGCCACCAGCAACAGTGACCCTTCAATGACCTCTGAGAAATATATAGCTTTTCTTTTGAAATATGTAGCTTTTCTATTGCAGTAAACTAAAAAAACAAACTCATCGATATCAAGTCAATTCTGACTCATACCAACCCCTACTGGGTTTCCAAGGCTGTAAATCTTTACGGAACCAGAGCCTAATCTTTCTTCTGCTGAGTGGCTGGTGGGTTCGAACCAATGAACTTTTGGTTAGCAGCCAAATGCCTTAACCACTATTCCACCAGAGCTCCTTTTCTACTGTAATAGGTTCCAGAAAATGATTGACAAAGAGGTAAGGAAGAATCCAGAGAGGTCATTAGATATGTCAGAGCAAGAACAATAACCAGTGTGTAACAGGGTGTTTGTGTGTTTGGGAAGAGCAGCAGCAAGGGCTAGATGTGGCAGCTGGTCATGTGCTGAAGGATTATGACATGAAACTTGATCAAGCCAATACCAAGGAGCCATGGAAGGGGAAAGGGTCTAGGCCAGGTTTGTTGCACAGAACAATCACCCTGGCTGCTTTGTGGAAAGTGAACTGGAGTAAGACAAATCTGGATGGAAGACTAAAAGTGAGAAGGGGTTTGTAACACTCCAAGTGAGCCAAGATGGGTCCTGATCCCAGGTGTGGGAGAGGGTACAGAGAAGAGAGGACAAATATCAGAGACATAGCTGAGTTAGAAAGGACAGAGCTTGGGGACCAGCTATGGGGAGATGCAGTAGGAGAGACAATAACGATGTCCAGCTTCTCACTGGGGTTGGTGAGAACGTCATCTAAGGCAGAAAAACCAGGAGGAGCAACTGGTCTTGGGAAAGAGGAACTGCAAGATAGCATATAACGGATGTGGAAATCAGGCCCTGGGGCTCAGAGAGATCAAGACCAGACACACAAACATAAAGTTAATAGCTGAAGGCTTGGGAGCAGATAGATTGTCCAGGGACAAGATACAGGGGATAATGAGAACCCAGGACAAGTTCCTGGAAAACTGCACATTTAAAAAGTGATTTGGAAGGAAGGGTGCCAGTGGGAGACTTGGCAAGTAGAGGGACATGGAGGGAGAGAAGAGCTGCCAATAGACCTGAGGGGAAGGTCCTGATGGAGGCCCCTGGCCAGGCCCTTGAGAAAGTAATTTCATGGAATGGTGTGTGTGTGTGTTGGGGGGGGGTGTCAGGTTGTAGAGTGGAGGTTTGAGTGGGAGTGGGAAGGAGCAAAGTAGTGTGAGAATGTGGCTAGTTTTGAGCTTCAAGAAAGGCAAGAAAAGGGTCTTTGGTGGCCTCTTTTTTTTTTTTTTTTTGGATGTGGTAGTAAATGATCCTTCCATGGGAGTAAGGGTAGAGGAAGGTTTGGGGCAGCATCTACAATAATGAGGCCAGTCAAAATTTACTGAGGTATGTATAAAATTGGATGGAAATCAGAAAGGGTTAGAAGATGGGGTGGTCCAAGCTGGAAGGGGCTGAGGAAGGTGAAGATAGATTTGAAGGGGAAGTTGGCACCTCAGAAATCAGACAGATCTGGTGCAAATCCCCTCTCAGCTGCTTGAGAGCTGGGTCCTAGCCTCCTCATCTGTAAAGGTCCTGCCTCACTGGGCAGCTGTGTGAATTACATGAGATGATATATGGAAAGTGCTCAATGCAGTGCTGTTCTATCATAAGCACTAAACTACTGTAGGTATTATTATTATTGCCTTAGATGTGTTGTTGTTGTTGTTATATGCCATCGAGTTGGCCCCGACTCATAGCCTCAGATGTAGGATACCAATAAAAGAATAGTGTGCAGGTGGACTTAGTAACTAGATGGGATGGAACCTCTTAAGGACATTAAGTCTGTTCCTTTGCATTTGGAAAGGGCCACTAGACTTCTCTCCAAACACGTGAAAATTCTTATTTTAAGCCTCTTCTGAGAAGCATTTCCTACTCTTAAAGGGAAGTCTTGTTGAGACAAGAAGTTCTCAACTAGAGAGTGTACATTGGTTGTTGTTGTTATGTGGTGTTGAGTCGGACCCGACTCATAGCGACCCCTCCCTGGGTGTCCGAGGTGGTAACACTAGGAAGTGGATTGCCCAACCTTCCTTGGAGTCACCTTAAACCGAGGACCCAAACTTACTGCCAACTAGTCAATTTCAGCTCATAGCTATCCTATAGGACAGAGTAGGACCACCCCATAGGGTTCCCAAGGCTATAAATCTTTATGAAAGTAGACTGCCACATTGCCACATCTTTTTCCCACAGACGGGTTCATGGGTTCACATGGGTTCAAACTGCCAACCTTTTGATTTGTAGCCCAGCACTTCACCACTGCACCAGGGTTCCTCTGGAGTCACCTTCCAAAAAAAAAACCAAACTCAGTGCCATTGAGTCAGTTCCAACTCATAGCATCCCACATAGGGTTCCCAAGGCTGTAAATCTTTACAGAAGCAGATTTTCACATCTTTCTTCTACAGAGCAGCTGGGGGATTTAGAACCACCAACCTCTTTGTTAGTAGCTGAATGCCTTTACCACCAGCGCTCCTCTTAGGAGCTTTAAATTCCATTCATGTCTGCAGTCCACCCCCAGAGAGTGTGATTTAAATCCTCTGTGTATGGCTTGTTTATTGGAGTAAAAAAAAAATCTCCCAGGTTATTCTCATGTACAGCTGTGGTTGAGATCCACTACTACAGAGAATAAACACCCACACAGGGGTGGCTAGAAACAGACATTCGGACAAATTCTGATCATTAACTGTGTGACTCGGGGAAGGCCCGTAGCCTTCTTTGAGGCCCCATTACATCATTTACCTTATTAAGCATGCTGGGGGTGCGGGTGAGGATTAAATGACAGAAGTCTGTAGAGTGCATAGGACACTGTCCAAAACATCTCGGAACTGAAGTTTGGATCATCTTCTGTATTTCTATTTTCAATAAAGGTGAAGATTCATTTTTATTCTAGTCATGTTTGACCTAAAAATAGAGGAGTCGAAGATCTCTTTTCCTTTTGCAGGTGTGCCAGAGGTAGTTTCACCAGTGTTTATGGTCATATGAAGCTTCTGGACTGCGTATGTTTTGCACAGATGACCTCTGACTTCCAAGTCCTACTGTCCCCTATCTAGACAGTTTTTCAAATGCCCAGGCATACATTCTTCCCCTGATGAGGAAGGCAATGGGAAAATGTGTTACTCTCTGAAAACTTTTAGGAACTGCCTATCTTCCAAGTATCCACTGACCGCAATGCAGAGGGATCTAGCATGTGCCACCCTGCTTCCCAAGCCAAGGCCAGAAACCTGGGGATGGCCCTTCTGGTCCTGCAGTGTCTGGATCAGAGAGGCAAGCATGGGAGGCAATGCCTGTGGGAGGGCCCTTCTGTTCTTGGCCTGCTGATGGGAATTCATCCACAAGGGCTGTTGGCCTCTCGGTTTGAAATCCAGAAGGTGAAAGAAGGTACTTGTATTCATGTTGTAGTTTCCAGAGTTGATTATTGGAATTTGTAAAAGCCTCTGATGTGCCAGCAGCTCTTAGTCAGAACATGAGATGAAAAATCCTTGGGCTGAGAATAGAATGGCTAACCCATTCTATTCTAATCAGCTGATGATTTGCTGATTTTGAAAGACATCAGCAGCCAGTACATGGCACTGATCTGCATGTGCTAAAGGAATGTTTAGGCCCCTTTTAGGTATGTGGCAAAGGGGCAAAGACTGGGCCATAGCTGTTATCAGTAGAGACCTGAGTTTCCATAGGGGTTTGGCAAGCATTAAGAAACAGCACCTGCTCACTTAGATGAACCAAGGTGAGAAGCAATTTCTTCAGGGAAAGTAAAAAGTGGTTATGATAATAGTAGTAGAGTATTTTGGAAAAGCATAGCAATAATAGTGGCACAACATGAAAATGTAATCAATGTCCCTGAGTTGTAAAAGTGGAAGTTGTTATGTTGGCAAATGTCTTGTGTGTGTTTTCACCAAAGTAAAAATAAAAAAAGTAAAAAAAGGAGCATGGATTATAAAAGTTTAAAACTGAACTCAAATTATTATTTTTTTTTAATTGTGATTTGGGTGAAAATTTGCAGAGCAAATTCATTTTCCATACAGCAGTTCACATACACTTTGTCTTATGACACTGACCACAATTTACCACAATGCAACATCTCCCCTCCTGCCTCCTCCCAACAGTTACCTCTTCCCTGTGTCCATCCCTCCATGCACTGCTGCCCCCTGAGCTGTCTCTTTGTGCAAAAGCAGCCTTTCTTTCTCCCATGCTTGTTCTCTCCAAGGAGTGTATCTACCTCACACAAATGTTCAACTCATATGCCCATCCACAGTTTGGCTGGAAGCCACAGGCACATGTTCAATTCCAGACCTGAAGGGCAGCTAGGGGCCATAGTCTCAGTGGTTCCACCAGGCTCTATTGGACCAACAAACCTGGTCACCCCCACTTTTCTTTTTCCAAATGATTTTGAGTTTTGTTCCCATTGTTCTCCTTCTCTATCCAGGATCTCCTACATAGATCCTCTTCCAACTGGTTGACAGTAGTAGCCAGGCACCATCTAGTTCTTCCAGTCTCATAGTCGTACAGGCTGCAGATTGGATGGTGTACCAGTCTCTAGGACTAATTGTTTCCACGAATCTTTGGTAGTCTTCATTCTTCTTTGCTCTGGATGAGGAGAGACCCATCATTGCATCTAGATGGCAGCTTGCAAGCTTTTAAGATCCCAGTCGCTACTTGCCACAGTAGGAAGTGGAACAATGTTTTGTGTAGTATGTTATGCCAATTGAGCTTGATGTCCTCTGCAACTATGGTCCCGAGCCCACAGGTTCAACTACTCGGTCCCTCTGGATAGCTGGCTGTGACCAAGTGGTGACTACAACCTTGCCCCTTGTCAGCTCCACTATACACCTGGGAATTCAGATCATACACATCAAATTATAGGACCATTGTCTGCCAAGCCTGTACATGTTCTTAGATACACTCCCCACTTCATGGACATACCTAATAGTTCAGCCTGTCCACCCATCTATCCACCCATATACCCATGTTTTCCTTCACTGACAACACCGTACTATATGTGCAAAAGGGTTCATTTTTGTTGTCTATACTTCCCACATACCTCTCTATGTCTTTCTCTTCCTCAATGCCACTATATTGATCACTCACATTTGGTACATTGCCTTTCTCTTTACCTAAATCAATACTTATCTTTATCTAACAGTGTTCCCTACCCTCCCCTCCGACCCCTGGTAACCAACAAAGAAAATGCCCTTCCATAGATAAACATTTCCTTGACTTTTACAATAATGGACTAATACAATATTTGTACTTTTGTGATTGACTTATTACACTCAGCATAATGTCCTCCAAGTTCATCCACATTATGCAGT